AACCTAACCTCTAAAGTAGGTTAGGTTGGCCCTCACCCTTTTGCATCCTCAATGCATCCTCTCCTGGACAGATCATGTAAGGTGAGCAGATTCTAACTGAAGAAAATGATCCTGAAGTAGCAAGGGGCCAAGCCATATATCTTCACTAATGAAATCAAATTAATTACATGTATGAGTTCCATGTTTAATATTAAAAATTAATGATATCTATTATATAGCTAAGCTAAGCTATATAGCAAATCACTGTATTTACCAAATATGAGAATTATGGTGTCCTGTTAAAAATATCCTGCATTTCATCTTTCAGCCTGTTTCAAAATGTACAATACCTGATAGTGACTTCCGGAAGAACAGTTGGATATTTTAATGGGAATGCACAGCACAAAGAAAGCGGTACCTAGAAAGAAGTTTTTTAAAGTTAAAAGAGAAATTCTTTAGATTCTACTAGCAATCAATTTCATGAAGTCTTCTTTTAGTATAAGAGTATATTACCTTGTTTTCATCAGGAGTTTCTACATCTAAATATAGGATGAATTGTATTTTTGAAGATGGCACTTCTAAAGTACATTTTCCAACATAATCTTTCAGTTCTGCTAAAGCCAACTGATCAGTCACCTTAAAATCATCTTCATTAGGAAACATACTAGAAAGTAAATCTAATTCAGAAAGTTGTAGTTCAGCTTCTTCCAAATTGCTCATCTTTGATGTATTAATATAGTTCCTAAAATAAATTGGAGAAGATGTTATTGGATACACTTTAAATTCTTAAAACTGTTACAATTAAGGAGTCAAATACCTTCAGCTCCCAAATGGCATAATGAATTTCAATTATATAGCTTCAAGATAATGCCACAAACTATTGGCAAATAAATAATTTGGACGTTAGATTTGAATATTCTTAATAATGAATATTGAACTTGCCTATTTCTGCAATGTCAGAATGTAATTCACTGTATAAATGTCCACTCAGAAACAAGTTATGAATGTATGTACATTATAATTGGTGGAATATACCTCCTAAAAGATGGACTGCAACAATATGTTGGCTTTGAAGTCGTCTCTAGACTGGAGTTCCCATCTTGCACGGAGTTGTGTGAGCCTGCTTGGTTGGGCTTTTGTCTCTCTATATAAGAGACAAGAATGAAGATTCCAAGGAAAATGTGGTAGGATGGAACTGATAAAAGCTTTAAAAATAGAGAAGAATGTAGTTGGTTGGTTGTTTTAAGAAAATGTAGGAAATGTGGCATGGGTGCGATGAAAGTAAGAACTTTGCAAGGACAGAAAGGTACAGAGTTATAGTGAATGGTGTTGAACCAGTAAACTAGTTATTGCTGTTTTCGTTTTCTTATCTTTTGCCTTAAATTCTTTAGCTTGTTATTTTTCAGAACTATGTATAATGTTGTTTTTCCCAAAAGGCAATACAGTGATTGCCATATGTATAAACAAGTTCATTTGTTTTTAGCAGTATTAAATTCCAGATTAGGGATATACAGTCACATTTTGAAGTTCACTTATTGCTTGGAATACATGTATATTACACATTTTTCACTACTCATACTTACACACAATTCATGAACATGTTTAAGTAGGTATGCTTCGAAAGTCAACCTGTTTCCATACTACAGGCATACCTCGTTTTATTGTGCTTTGCTTTATTGTGTTTCGCTTTATCGCACTTTATAGATATCAAACAGCATCGCATGCTACAGAGAAATCTTTGTGAATGGAAGAGGCAATCAATGCGGAAAACTTTGTCTCATTTTAAGAATTTTTTAGATTAAGGTATGTACATTTTTTAGGCATAATTCTATTGCACACTTAATAGACTACAGTATAGCGTAAACATAACTTCTATATGAACTGGGAAACCAAAAAAAATGTGTTATTATTGCGGTATTTGCTTTATTGCGATGGTCTGGGAGTGAACCCACAATATCTGCAAGGTATACCTGTACACCTAACAGTGAGGGCAGAAAAAAATGTGGAGAATGGGTGATACAAATACAACCTCAGCTGTATATGCTCTCCTGGCAGTTAGACTTTCTCTTTTAGAACTGGTCGTAGATAAAGAAAAAGTGTGAAATCACAATGTCTTCAAACAATTTCCTCAAAATATTGTGCCAATGGAGAAGCAGAAGCACAGCGGAGCTGTGATTAGTATGTACGTCGATCGGGCGAGGACCAGAGAAGTTCGGTAGCAGCAAAACCAAGAGATTGCTTTGTTTAACTCACGTCTTATAGCATAAACAATATTAAACACGTTAAATGATTAAAACATCCTACCAAAGTCAATACAGAGCTTGTTTCCTAAATACAGTAAAGCTTTGATGAAGCTTTGTAATATAGTAATTGTTAATACCAATAGTTGAGAATGAAAATCAGTCTGATTTGGATTTCCAGCCAAATTCCTTCGTAAAAACCACCACCTCCGACCTTCACAGCCCAATCCAACGCAAATTTGCATTCAAAACATTGGTGTGTTGCGTTGCACGGTGCCGTTCCGAAGTATAGAAATCCCAGTTTAAATGAAATGTTGTGACGGCTATTGTTTTTAGATTTCTATTTGTACATTAAAGACGGGGGGGGGACCTATTTTGCTTCTGCTGGAAAATCAAGAACGCCTGCCCACTAACCGCCCAATCGCAAGCGACTATGCTAAAATCCTGCTTTTTGATGTATTTTCTTTCGCTGTTTCCATTTCTGCTGCGTGCGCGTGCCCAGCTATAAAGCGCCGACTCTCTGTAGACTACAGACTTCCGCGACCGCCTCGCCCTACATTTTCGTACACATTTCTTACCCAACAGCCAACGTACCGGAAGTTACAGCTCAGTAAAAAGGCCTCTCCAGAGCAAGCGATCTATGCCAATTGAACAGGACTGCACGAGAGCCGTAAATCTCCACCGGAGACGCAGGGATGTGTCGTAAAATATTTAAATATAGGAGGTCTGTGCTCGGCACGCAGTGACAGCGAATCTGTTCCGACGTTCCTAACTCATCTCGTGGAACCTTTTATCAGCGGTCCCTTGAACTGCTCCCTCTGGTTCGTAGAACGTAAGAAATGCTTCACTATTGGTTTCGGCTGTTGTCAGTAAAGGCCGAATAGGCGGGCTGCGAAAGCGTTGGAGTGGCCAATCAAAGGCGGGCTGGATTGCTTCACCTGGGACAATACGGTGCGTTTGGGCAGAAATGGCTGCAGCTGGTCGCCCACAGCGCTCTTGTGAGATTAGTGTTTTCCGGCCAACTTGTGCTGGCATTTGGCATTTTCAGCTGTTTTTATGTCCTCCCCCCTTAGGGAAGTGCTAATATTCCTAGCAGGCGTAGGCTGAGAGAAAAAAAGTTGCCAACTACCTCCCACGTCCGCCCCGAAATTGGACGGCCTTTTTGTTGTGCAAAATGCTTATATTTGAAGCTGCCGCAGTTAAATTGCTCGTAAGTGTAAGAACTAACTAGTTGGGTGGAGGTGCCCTTTAAGGTATTAGAATCTGACTGCCTGATTTCACCCTGCTCTTCTTAATTATTGCTCAACAGGCATATATTAGCTTTTTATTTCACGGCACGGAGAAAGAAGTTTACTCAATATGCCAGGTTGCTCCTGAAAGTGCAGAAAACTAGCCCATTTAAAGAGCTATTGTCCCTGTTTAAGAAGAATGACCTTTTTTTTTTTTTCTTTTCCATTTTGCAAACACAAGGAAAATGGAGTGGAGTATGTACAGAGACACCAAACTGCTGTGTTTAGCCTTAAGTTTTCACTTTAAAGTGTTTTAAGTCAAATGCCTTTAAATCATACCTTGATATTAGTTATGAGAAAGAAAGCTAAAATTCACTTTACTCCAATAAAAGGAGCTGCTATTTAATTTCCTAGGCTGTTACACATGATTGTTATTATGAAAACATGATTATTATAGGAAGATATAAAGAACAGATTCAATTAATGAGTCTCCAGGAAAAAAAAAAAAGAATTATTCCATAAATAGGACAGGACGGAGTTATTGTCCTTGAATAACTCCTATAGAAGTACAATTTCATGTACAAATATATTTTGCACCCATGTGTCCATAGATGCATTGATAGGATTTATTAACCTTCCCAGTGCTAAACAGTCTTTAGCTTTGAATTTAAGTATGTTGAGACTGCAGCTTGATCCCATTCATTATATGCTTTATTTGTTTGTTTGTTTGATTTATCTCCGCCCATCTCCCCCTCTGGGAGGCTCACAAGATTTGTTAAAACAATAAATATATATAAAATTACATAAAACATGAAAACTGTGCAAAGCATTACCGAAAGAAAAGAGGAAGTCCAAGAGGCTGATGTTTCTAGAGCTGCAGATGACAGGCCTCTAAGGGGCTAGCCATCCCCATACTTGGTGTCTTCCCTCCCCACCCCAGGCCAAGTGGCAGAGCCAGGTCTTCAGATCTCTCAGGAAGGCCGGGAGTGAAGGGGCCAATCTCACCTCCAAGATATTCCAAAGGGTAGGGGCTACAGCAGAGAAGGCCCGCATTCTGGACCCCACTGATCAGAGCTCTTTTATTGAGGGGATCCAAAGCATGCCCTCTCTATGTGATCAGGTGGGATGGGTTGAAGTCATGGGGAAGAGGCAGTCCCTTAGGTAACCCAGTTCCATGCCATGT